AGTAGTAGTAGTAGTAGTAGTAGTAGTAGTAGTAGTAGTAGTAGTAGTAGTAGTAGACTTAGTATTTGTAGTAGTAGTAGAAGTAGTAGTAGTAGTAGACTTAGTATTTGTAGTAGTAGTAGTAGAAGTAGTAGTAGTAGTAGTACACTAGTACTAGTACTAGTACTAGTTGTAGTAGTAGTAGTAGTAGTAGGAGTAGAAGTAGCAGGTGGTAGTAGTAGTAGTAGTAGCAGTAGAAATGGTAGTTGAAGTAGTAGTAGTAGTTGTTGTTGTTGTTGTGGTAGAAGTAGTAGTAGAAGTAGTAGTAGTAGTAGTAGAAGTAGAAGTAGTAGAAGTCGTAGAAGTAGAAGTAGAAGCAGTAGTAGTAGTGGTAGTAGTAGTAGTGGTAGTAGTGGTAGTGGTAGTGGTATTAGAAGTAGAAGTAGAAGTAGAGGTAGAGGTAGCAGCAGCAGCAGCAGCAGGAGTAGTAGTAGTAGTAGTAGTAGGGGTAGGGCACAGCGCTTCCTATTAATCAAAGTTTTCTGGCTGTCACGCTAGGCGAAGGCGAAAGTGGGCCTGTGGTAACTGTGGTAAGACTCGAAGTGGGGTGCGGTGGTCGGAGTGATAGAGGTAGTGGTAATAGTAGGGCTTAGTAGGGGTAGTGGACGGGGTAGTGGCAACTATGAAAAAAGCGGGAGGAGGGCGCAGCGCCTCCCCCGCAATGGAAATCAAGTATAGACAGCGCTGTCCGCCTACTGGGTAATTTACCCAAAGCTATCTCTCTACTAGGGAGCTACCAAGACTGAAGGACCATAAGACTAGCGGACTAGGTGCCCACTGGGCCAAGAGACCGAAGGAGCAGGGGACCAGCGGACCAGAGGACCAAAGGACCAGCGGACCAAAGGACCAGGAGACCCAAGGACCAGGGGACCTCTTGATCAGTAACCCCCTCTACCAGAATAGGTTCACATCTCCACTACTGGAAGGGGTTTTGTTCATTTCATCAACATGTCATCAACCATCAACCGGAAAAGCATCAACAGGCCAGCATTGAGGCTCTCTTCTTCGGTCGCTCTATCGCTCCATGAAAGGATTCAGCCAATGAACTCGTGCTTCAAACAATGCTCCGGCAAACAGCGACCGAAAAGAGTCAGAGTGTTCTTTTCGTTTTTCCTCAACGCAAAAACAAAAAAGCATGCCATTTCTGAAAGACCTGTGGGAAAAAGATCCAAACGTAACCCCAAACCTACTTTTGTTTTGGGGTCTCCCATATTCGAGTACAATCCCAGGCATGGGATGGGTTAACTCAGGGGCAAAACCCATCTGAGCTCCTTGCTGGCACCCCGTCTGCCGTCCGCGCCTGAAAACAGAAGGGTCAAGACATCACTTGACTTCGGTCAAGGCGGTCAAGACCTTGTACTCCCATTCGTGATGGATCTGAACACCGTGAACAGCTCAGCATGGAACCTGACAATGGACCAAACCGGAAGAGGATTTTCCTCTAAAACCCAGTGGTTTTCAATGGTTTTCAGATTCCATGTAAATCTTCCAGGGCACAAATCAGCCCAGCGAATTTCGTCTTGCATCTTCCATGCTGCGCCTAATCACCGAGGAAAAGGACACTTTTTTTCGCTTCCCGCACGCGACGTCCCAACCTCCGCGAAGGCTGAGAAGGCCAACACATCATCCTCCAAGCCGACCAAGCTCTGGATGCTGGCCGACGGCCAGCGCTGAATGTTCAGCGCACCACCGGGAGGGGCGGAGGCTGCACGGTTGGGCACCGGCCATTGAACAAAAAGGCTACATCCTCACTACTGAGTCATAACCGAATAGGCCAATTAGGTCTGATTAGTTGATAGGGAAATGTGGCAAAACTACATGACACCCAACCATAAGAACTCTGACTGGCAGCATCCTGTGCAATCCTGTGCAATCCAAATCGACCTCCTGATTCCCAAACCAAATCGACACCATCCTCAAACCAACACCATCCTCGACACCATCCCTCGCTACGGTCGGGCCGGAGGCCGTCGGACCACGACGAGTGAACGCGCCCGCTCCGGTCGCGGACGCATCGTGGGCGCACGTCCAGTCCGTGCCGGCGATGAGGCCTTCGAGGCCTTGGACAAACGGCAGCGGTGCCAGACCGGGAGCCCTTCTGGATGGCGATGATCCGAAGACCAGGGAGGGGGGAGGTTTTCCACTCACTCACTGCATGAAAGCAGGTGGAACTTTGAAGGGTATATCATATATAAGCAAGGAATGGGTACGTCTTGAGAAAAGCCAGGGCTGTCATTGTTCCATGCTGGCTCCTCTGTGTCCTCTTGTGACTGAGTGAGGATGCCCAAAGCTTTGTGGGTAACTCTGGGAATGGCTTGCTATGATCTAGACGTTATACTTCCGGCCTTGGTTGTTGCTGCCATGAGCCACATGAAAGCATATGAAATCTTGGATTCCTTCCATCAACATCAAGGCATGTTTGGAGCGCAGGACCTCAGGAGGTTTTTGATATTTTCTGAACAGGAACCTTGAGTTAAGATTGATTTCTACACCTAAATCCTCAACAGATTGACTTTTGGAGAGGCTCCAGAGCCTCGCCACAAGCAGGTGAACTCAAGCTCGCAAGGTCCGACTCAATGGATCTAAAATGTAGAAGGAGACCTGTTGGAGATGTAGAACTCCAATTGATTCACCCAATTGGGAATCCTATGTGCAGAACACTACAGCCAAGGTATTTGAAAGCCACTTTGAGGCTGGACACTGCCCTTTTTGTTTGGGTCCCTGGGAAAAATCACTTGCAGAACAAACTCCGGTGACTCCCATTGTCATACCAACTCCGGTGACTTTTTGGAGTGGAGGTCTCGACGGAGGTTCGAAACGGAGGCTGCCTCGGGACCTTGGAATCCTGCAACAAAGGTTGAGCCCAGCATATTCCAACTTTAGTGCTTAGCTGCTATAGCACATTATCTTAATAAGTCTGAACATACAACTTGCTTGAAGAGACTGCATGATAAGACGTATTAATATATATATATATAGTATACATATTATATATATACACATTGTCTTAACATACAAAAACGTTCTCATTGCTAGAACCCTTTCGATCAACTCCGCTGAAAGAACACATCGACAAGAGCAAGAATATCATCGACAAGAACACTGGAACTCCAGATGTTCCAACGCCATCGCTTTCACCTCCTCGGCCTCCACACCACAAGGCATAAGGCCTCACATCGCTGAAGAGAAGCGTCGCACCGTGACGTATGTTTTTCTTTTTTTTGGCACCAGGTGAACTTGGCTCAAACAAAATGCGGAGAAATTCCATTTGGGCCCAAAAGGCTGGCTCTGTGTTATCTGCCCAAAAATCAGTTTCTGGATGGCCCAATGGTCTCAGGGGTACTTAACAATACAAAAATATCAAAAGGGATTTCCAATGATTTCCAGATAAATCTCCTCACAGTTTGACCCTCATTGCCTGTCCAATCCTATGTGATGCAGAAGTGTTTCTCACCACCGACGGAAACCACCCGTCGGGGTTTACCCTCCGCGCCTTCCACCAGCATCTCCCGATCACCGTGGCGCCAGGACACAACCCGGGACCCTGGCAAAGAGACCTCAGGAGATACGCTTTCGATGAGGGAGCCTGTCGAACCAGACTCGATTGGGTCAGCTGGAAACTTCAACATACGCCCCACCATAATGGAGGTGCCCGTCTACCTTCTACTGGGGGGGCCACCCTGTTTCAGGTTGACATCTTCCCAATATCCAAGCCGCTGGACTTGGTTGCTGGAGGTGAAGCGATAAGAACCGTTGCTACAATGGGATGTCAACCATCAAGTGCCAAAGCGCCAAGAGATGCATCTGCCTAATTGGCCAACATCAAGCGCCCGGACACGCACCCGCATCCATTTCTCACCCCGTGTTTTGTTCCCGCACGTTTCCGCACCTGGCATAGAGGCCCAGTGGGGTGGTTCATGGACGCCATTGGAGTCCCATCCTCGGTGCAATCTTGGTCCCTAAAAAGCATGTTTCAGATTTGGAATGGCGCGGCTGTCACTCAAAACCGCGATACTTGATTAGCTAACTTGCTCAATTCCAAAAGAGAACAACCATCTACGTTTCATTGGTTTGATCAATATGATGATCAACCAACGCAGCTCAACGAACCAAAATGACCAGGCATGCCAACCATATGAACACTGAAGAGGGATGCCGACCTGACCACTCAAGCAGAAGCCCTACATGATCACCGAGCAAAGCCATCAACCCATGGCCCCAAAAGGAACCAACATGCTATGCTTGCAATTTTGAAGAGTTTGCAGGTTGCCGTCCTGCCAGGAAGATGCACCATTTCTGCATCTCCGACACCACCAACAGGATGTTCCAGGTAACTTATATATTATACTGCTCATTGAAAGGATCTAAGTTTTATGACCAGTTGAAGTTCCATGCTTTCCAATGGCTATAGTTATGCGGCGCTTCATGCTCTGGGTAGTTGTACCCACTCTTGCACCTTACCGCAAGGATCATCTATACCAAGACCCTATATAATAAAGGATCTCTAATGTTTAAAACAAATTCAACTCTGATTTTACAACTAGCAGCCCCTTACAAGTAGAGGACAAGAGGTGTCCATTCACCACATACCACCCTGGCTCGTGGCTCCACCCTCGCTCCCTGAGGGCCACCACTGGGCCCAGAGACACTGAGGAATTTCCGGCCTCACACAGCGTATGTGGGGCACGAGAACAAAGGCAGCAAGTTGGGCGAAACCAAAACACCAGTTGGGCGAAGCCAGAAAACCGTTTCAACGTTTGACGGTCCGTGTCTGGGTCTTGCTGGAACCAGGGCCCACGGGAAGCTGAGAAGTACTTGAGCCTCAAATAGACTGACAAACCGACAAACCTAAAACCTGGGGTTCCCTCGTAAACCACATCCAAGTTGACCAGACTTTCCAAGGCGGTAGAGGACGCTACGAACGGGGCTCCTGGCATCGCTATGAACGGAGGGACGCTACTAGGAGTCTTTTCGCGCGCGCGCGCGCCAACCACTCCACTAATTAGTTAGAGCGTTCAATGGAAACTTAACAGAATGGTCCTGGTGGGGCTGGAGTTCGTTGAAGATTGAGAGGACCCCTCCAAACCGTCCAACGAGATCTAAGCACTTCACCAGCAAACTCTCCAGTGGCCGCACCATGGCAGCCATGGCGGCTGCCCTTGGGAGGTTCCACGTTTCTCAGGCTGATGCAACTTCGAAGACTGCCAGTCTTCTGGGCAGCCAGTCTTCGTGGATCTTGCTTCATTCAGTTGTGGTCTACATGAAGCAAGCTTTCTCTTTGAGGCGGCATTCTTGGGCTTTCCTTTCCGTAGGCTTGTGCCTGAGAAATGTTCAAACTCCGCCCTCACCTGGCATTCTGTGCGCGTCTTGAACCATGTCGCCGGCGGAACAAACACAGCTCCCGGTGAAGGAGCGATGTATCGTCCAGCTGCGGGAGAGTTTGCCTTTCACAGCATCGTCCTTTCCAGCGCCATCGTCCAATGGGTGATGGAATTTCTCGTGCATCAACTGGTGGACTCAAACGGCTTTGGCTTGGGAAAGAACACACACAAAATAGTGCAAAGTGTAGCCATTCAAACCTTCAAACCCTTTGTATCCCTTTGTCAGTTATTGAGGCATGCGGTATGCAGATAGAGTTGCTGAGTGGCCTGGCTTCTCACGGCTGGCTTCTGCAGCAATCACCACGGCGAAAAAACACGTCACTCGTCACGCCTCTTTGTCACCCAGCGTTCTTCGAAGGGTCCTCATTGGGGCGAATGGCCTGGCGTTCCGGTTTGAGGATCGACCGATGGATGGGAATATCCAAAACTTCATGCCAACCCCCCCCCAAAAAAAGGAGTTATTTGGAAGTTGGGGACATTGAGGCGTGTGAGGTTCTCCGGGATGAGTTTGGCATCTTTAAGCATCTTTCTGTGTCGTTTCGCAGAGTGAGCAAGCCGCAAAAACACCAGAAACTGTCACACATGCACGTGGCCGAATGTTGCTTTCTCCATGACCGGTTTCTTTCTCTAACGTACCTCGACCGCCGCACAGGCTCAGGGCCGGTTTTCTCCATTCCGACCTTCCCAAGACCGTCGCCATCCTCACTTGTACAGCTAAGGATGGCCGCGGCGATCGCCGGTGATCGACCATTCCTTCCAGTGAAACACCGGTCTGACCCGGTCGGTCCGACCCGGAATCACGAACAGCCATGCAGGCGAATTAAATGCAATCGCAACCTAAAGATGAACAAAAGCATGTTTGGAATCGTTGCATGTACGTGTAAATACTGGAACCGAACACCTACCAGGTACATAGCTCATCATTCATAGCTCTATGGAGGCTCTGCAGGGCAGCTAGTGGCCCTTCAAACTTCGTTGACACAGTGACCGTCCAAGGCGGTCTGCGGTGCACAAGAAACGCGGGACATGACCCAAAGCAGCTCCATCAGCTGTGCAGGCCTCGGTCGGTCAAACTGGCGAGTGTCCATCCATTTCCGGCCCAGGAAGCCAATTCCGGGAAAAAACCAGATGGAAGTGAAACTTAGCTAAAAAGGAGAATCGAGTAGAAGTGAAATGATGCAGGAGGTTGTAGGCTAGATAGATTCAAAGGTTGGATGAGAAAAACCTCACGGGTTTCTGCACATCACAGCTCCGACCGTCCTTCTGAACCGGACCCGGCGGTTGTATTATATGTGCTTTGGCCCCGGTTTGGGGCGTCAGGGAATGGATTGACTCTGCTTTACCAGAATGAGCATTGACCACAATAAAAACTTCCATCCACATCACGTGCCCTTCCAATTTGTGTTACAGCCAAAGGATGTTCCTGGTAGCCCTTGCTTTTGGGCTCACGGCAAGGTGTTCACCTTTCTTGACAGAACGTCCTTGGCGTCCACTCTGAAAGTTACCTTTTGAATCCTTTTGACGGGTCCAACCACCACTCAAATTGAAGCTGACAGCATTATATAGGCTGCACTCAAACTGAAAGCCTGGACCACTCAAGCTGTGTTGGACGCTCCCAGCTGACTGCCAGGAAGCATTGATCAGCATCTCGCAGCTGATAATGTTCCCCTGCTCCATCAGAGTCAACGCGTGCGGCCAATGCGTGGCACGATGACAGCTGGAGATGCTGCTGCTGTGCGTGATCACATCAGGCCGACACCCTGAGGTGCAGGCATGCCGGCGCCGTGGCGCACGCGAGCGCGCACGCGAGCGCGACCTGGTGGACACTATGTGGGCAGTTGGGATGGTGCCAAAGACCAAGAAGAAGGGGGTTCCTGAGCAGTGGAACTCATATGGAGCATCAAAACCTCTTGGCACTCAACAACTGTCAACATCAGAACTCACACATTACGGCAGGTGCTCGTCTAACTGGTTCCGCAGTCACAGGTCATCCCCCAGTTGTCATGCTGCTGACAATGTCCCGACCGAGTAGCGGAAAACCATAAAAAGTAATTACCCTTCAGCAGAGCGCTGAGGGCCCCCCAAATGCGGTAGTGCTTGGAATTACCGCTGGTACCAGCACATACACCAGCTCCTCATGCATGAATTTGTGGAAACTCCACATTCCGTTGGACCCCGGTGGCTACACCCGGCCACATCCGCCAGACCCACCTAGACTGCGCCTGCGAGTTGGGCGGCATTCAGGAAGCTCAAGGCCATGGCCCATCCCAGAAACGTCTCTCCACAGGCACTGATCAGACCTCATCTTTGTCCAGTCTCACACATGTGCAATGTGTTTGAGCCGGGCAGACAAGGAATCGGCGCCGTTTGGTTGCTTTCCGTTGCAAGTCTAGAGTGACACGAAACCTGCTGCATGCTTTCATACTTTTGCCCGAAGTCCGGTTCTATTTACGTTTTTTTTGCACCACCGAAGCGTTCAGGAATTTCCGTTTCGGATCGCCTAAAAGACATATTGTCTTAATACAAATGGTCGATTGGACTCGCAGGGTTGCCAGTTGCACTGCAGGAACTGTGACATATTCTGAACCATTGGATTAGATTCCCGGGCACGATGAGTTGTTGACCAAAACCAACGAACCAACTGCGGTCTTGGCTTGCCCGACCGGACTGGCCGAGGCAAAGGCAGCGAGTCGAACGGTTTCAGCATGCGATCGAGATGCTGTTGTAGGTGATGAGGCTTGGTGCCACTCTGCCCAGATCCATCTCTTCAAGCGATTTCAGTGCAGTACACCAGTGACGATCCTTTGCTGCAGCACTGATCAGACCTCAGGTGCACAAAAAGAACACACTGGCAGTGTTGGGGTGGTTCAGCTATATGCCAAATTGTATGTGGACAATGTGGACTCTGTATGCAGAAATGGAAAGAAGAGAGGGGGGCGTTCCCTTCAATGGGTTCACATCTCTGGACCGTCAAGTGAAGACCGAAGCCTCTGCGTGAGGGTCCGCACATGGCTGGAGGACCGTACCATGAGGCAGTGAGAGCTTGCTTGGGTTGCCGGGTTCAGCCACGTGAGCAAAGATGCATCGCAAGCAAAGAGGCAAAACCGGCAAAACCCCAACCCCTCCGAGATCTTCCAAGTGTCAAACGACGTCCACGCAGCCCCACGGAGATGGGGGGTCAAATACTACTCCATTGGCAAGTAGTTGAACAACCCTCTGAGGTCTTCTCCCGGAAGGAAGACTTGGGTGCTGAAGTCACTCTCCACCATTGTGGTGGCCCATGGCTTCTCATCCGCCAAAGCACTGCTGAAGGTCAAGACGTCTGGGGAAAGGCGGCCCTGCTGCAGCAAGCAGTTCTGGCCATGCATGGCGAGAGCGGTGGATGGTATCAGCAAGTGGTTGAACGACGCCCCATCTGTTTTAGGTCTGGGGTCTGGGCACAGGAACCGCTATTTGGGGTGCCGAGCTGTGGGCACTCTACTTTGGGCTACGTTGAAATCAGCTTTGGGCTTCTCAGGGTTCTACTCAGGGACCTACTCGCGGCTCGCTCCTGTCCGAAAAACCTCAGGACCACGTCCGAATAACTGGGGAGAGCACTGAGCAGTCAGAACTTCGGTCCAGGCTCCATCAAGAATGTCTAACTCACCACAGTACATCCACCCCCACAGAAAAGAACAGGTAAAGAACTAACTTCGATCACAAAATCTCACCTAATTTCCCAATATAGTTTTGCCACCCCCGTCTACCAATAGCTCAGAAGATCTTTGGAGACTTTCTTCACCAATCCTCACGTGGCTGTTCTACCGGTGGCACTCCTTGAGCTTCAAAGCGAGGTCCAGCTGACCGCCCTTCTCACATGCACTGATGGCCTCATCCGGTGGGTCGGACAACGGTCCCGGAGCGAAAGCAAAGAGAAACCGCGCCACATGCGGCCACGTCGCCACAGCTGGAGAACGAAACAGTTCAAGCACTTAGTGAAAGAGTTCAAGCTCGGGGAGTCATCTCTTTCCTCTCAAACCCAGCAGCACGGCAACGTGCTTCAAGCCCAATCGACCAAAGGACCAACATGGAGGAGTCTTCCGGGGTGCAGTGCAAGGACCCAGAACTGTACAATTCACGGAGTCATCAATCTTCGCAATCTTGAGAAAAACTCCCTGGTACCAAGTCGTTTCATGAACTTTCCATGAAATGAGACCTGATCAACTAAAACACAAATATATAATTGACTTTGTTGCAGCCAGGTTCGACTCCCCTAAGGCGATGCGCACTTGAGGTGATGCGTGAAAAGAAAACACCGAGTTGCACTATTGAAGCTGAAGAGATCTGGCACCCTTCCAGAAATCTCCAGAGTGTTGAGAAGTTGCAAAGCCAGCTCCCAGAATCCGGCCGCTTCAGACACGCTGATGCTGCTGCTGAAGCTGACGACATCCTCGACCGGACCGGTGGAGCTGAACCGCCCCGTCGTCCAAAGGCGGCACTCACCGGTGTCAGTTAGAGGTCGTTTTGGCGTGTGATACTGCCGACTGAATCCTCAGCCATAAGCAGCCCCAAAACCAAACAAACCCTATACATGTTTGTCTTATCATTTCTTCAGTGCAAAGACACCGCTTTAGACCGATGCCGCCTCAGCGTTGGAGTCACGTCGTGCTTCGAGATCGGCGGACCGACGGAAGAACACCTCGTCACCTCGCCGGCCTGGGGCCGCGGTTTTCCACCGCCGAAACGGGGTTGAAGCAACGGAAGACAGGCCATCGTTCGGAAAAAAAACAGAAACACGGCCGTGAATCGGAAGGCATCTTTCTTTGTTCTTCTTTGGGAAAAGAAGGCCAGTTGAATGGTGTCGCTTGCTTCAGCTTTCGCTTGCTTCATGTGTCCCTCCCAAATGGGGCATCTTTCGGAGGTTCCCCACGGTGATCGGATTTTCCACTCAGCACCGCCGGGCGTCTGGTGGTGCTTGCGCTGCCGCCATGGATTCCAGAAGGTTTAAGGCACATGCCCAGCTCCCGCGTGGCTCACACACGCAGATGGCGCTGTTGTAAGTCACCGTCGTGGGAGATAGCCTCGAGAGTATTGGCCCTTTACTCCAAAAGCTCACATGTGATGAAAAGAATCGTATGCTGTATGGTCCCAGAAAGAAATGGCGATATTCCAAGATCATATTTCATTTCGTTCTTTTCCGATCTGAAAACTCTTTCCATCGACCTCTTGAGACGGGTGAGACGGACCACTTCCCCCCACCCTGTGATCCCCAACGACTGGGGAGTGAAGACGTACCGGTACCGGATCGGTACCGGGTCGATCATAGGGCCACGCTTAGGCCATCGCCGGCGGTTTTGAGAGTCGGATCTTAATACACTGAGAGTCCGAACATGCTGGAGGTCCAGTGCAGTCTGGATGCTGGTCCGAGCAGCAAATCAAAAGCATGAAGCTGCTACGAAGCTCTTACTTATTCTCTCTTGTACTTCTATAGGAAAATGGAGATCAATTAGTATCATGTGCATGTTGACTGGCTGAGAACTCCCCCCACATGGAGAGGTATACCAATTCTGGTAAAGGGGGATTTATGGTTTATGAATGTAACAGTCGAGATTACTGTAGGTTTTGCCAGAATTGCTGGGTTGCCCATGGGTAGAGTAACTCGCTTGGTGTGCATCCCCAAAATACTGTCAAAACCTATATTATATGGTGGCAACTATTCACTATTCGATAACAAACACAAAAACCTTTATTTGCTTAGGTAACATGATGATTCATGTAACTCCTAAAGCTGAGGACTCAACAAGAAAAACATGTAAAACAACAAGAGGGAAAATTGACCACATCCTTGATGAGATGAAACCCCAATTCAGACTGTGTTAGTGTTCATTCCGGGTGTTGGAGTACACTTTTCGGCCAGAAAGGAACCGTTAACCTACATCCCCACCTCTGCGCTTCCATCTGCGCCAGCAGCCGCAAAGCTATCTGCAGCTGTCCAGTGCCGCAGGCGCAGGCTCGGATGGAGGAGTTGTAGCTAATGCTGTCTGGCTCTTCCTCGACAAGGCAGGGCAGAACGTGAAAAAAGGCAGTGAAAGGTGCGGACGGCAGTGGAAGGTGCTCTTCTCGTCGGACATCTGGTCACACCAGGTCCCAAAAGTGACACGAACCTCGAACTCGAAGAACCTCTTAGAACTCGACCGGTAGCACCGATCGTTCGTGGCTCGGGTCCCCCTGAAAGGCCTTGAAACTCGGTCGTTCGAAGTCGTTAGACCATTCGACCACTTTTCTGTTGGCGACGTTTGGGGAATCTCGACCAGGTGAATGTGTGGGAGTTGGAGCTTTTGGATCGACACAGACCTGGCACTTCTGGTATCAAACCATATACCTATACCATACATTACCATACTACATACTAGGAGTCGGGTGGCCCTATAGGAAGCATCCGCGTCCGAAGCAAGCCTCCAACAGAGATGGAGCTCCACACTCGAAAGAAAGACATGTGGGTGAAGCCACCGAAGAAGACTTTTTGGGGGGAAGCCACGTTTGGTTTGCTTTGATGTGCACGCCCACGGATGCTTCTGGGGGGGCAACCGGCAGGAGACTTGGCGCAAATTGTGACAAAGTGGGATAGCCACCACATCAGGCACTTCGTGCTCGAGGAGCAAGATGATAAATGAGAAACAACAAACACGGGTTGATAACAGTCACGCGCATAGCAGTTGGAATGGCTCCCTTCAATTGTATTATTTTGTATAATTATAGGAGCCGGTCCTCGCTTTGCCGCTTGGAATCGTGTCTGCTTCCACGGGTGTGTAACAGCTATATGCGACTGTGATGCGACAGCTATCCGATGATGTTCTGCCGGCCAAGGTTCCTGAGAAGAAAGCATGAAGACAAGGAGAGATACTGCAGCCAGCCATTGCCCAGCTTTATCGCAAAGGTCTATGGCACTGTTGTAGGAGATGATGTTGGGACGTACCCCATCCTGAGCTTTTGCCGGCGGTCAAGTTGGCGGCAAGAACACCAGAGGAAGGGCACAGGTCGAGAAAAAGACCTGTATTCCTGGCGCTGGAAACAGGTGGTTGAAAAATGAGACCAATCAAGACTGTCTACCACTGTGGGGTCTCAGTTGATACGCTCTCTTGATTCCGATGCACGCTCTGGCTGTGGCCGACAGTACACAAACTGGCCCAATGGGCAGAGCAAAGTAGTGGAGCTTCTGAAGATGACTAGAGCAGTTGGTACCAAGCAATCTGTTCCACAGAACTCACGACAGGGCCGAGTTTCCAGCCGCATCACAGCCAACAGCCGCACGCCCAAGCCCCAGCCTTCGTCCTCGCGCTGTGCGCCACGCGCGAGGCCCATTGCAGAGGAGAAGCTGATCACGTCCGGTCGACATCTGGAGGAAGTGAGCAACTCCAGCGCCCAGAACCAAGGAGCCGACCAAGAAGCACCTTGAGAAGAATCCCATCCATCCCTTGTGAAGGGATGGAATCACTGATATTGTAGGAGAGAGGGGAGAGAGAGAGAGAGAGATTCTTACACTTGATTCCAATAATAAGGTAATGATGGCACTCGTATAGAATTTTAGCTTGAATCAAACCAACTCTGAAGAACCTATATTAATACTAGCAACATATTATATAACGATTGTATATCATATCACCCATAGATTTATATCTAAATGTATATCCTAGTACACCTTAGTACGGTGATTTGCCATCCACAACTTCTGGATTCCTCCAAAACGCTCCAAAGCGCACTCCTTCAGGCATTCTTTCAGATCTGGTCAAGCATGACATGCTGCTGTGGTGTTGAGTGTCTTGCTTTTGACCCATGCCACATGCCTGGATCTGCCACAGATGGAGTTGTTTGATGTTGTTTGGACACTTCTTGGCCCCGGCAGCATGGTTTTGAGCAACTTCAAGAGATTTCAAGAGCCTGCTCTTGGGTCTGACCCCACCCGCTCCAGCAAAGCCTGACCTCCAACGCCCACTATGGGTCTGTTCAACCATCATTGACCAATCGACTTCACTCTGGGTCCAATCAACGTCACTCCACCAAACAATTAACAAGAGGCGTCCCAAAGAAGGTGCAAAACAATTGACAAGCATTGGAGATTTAGTAAACGAACTCGACCTACTTCTCTGTCAATCTGGACCTTCACACCCCTCCCCCAAGCTTTCCGCCACTCTGACCCTCCAACCTCTCCAAGCTGCCGATCATCGCATTCAAATCCTCCACTCCCCGGCACGCACGGGGCCCCGCCGCGCGCGGAGCCGCGGCGCGCGCGGCCAACGTCCAACGCCAGGCGCCCAGCGTCCGCCCCGGCGGTCGCTCCGCGGGGTGCGACCAGAGCGACAGCGCCTCGGAGTGATCCGCGGGAGCCGCTCGATCTGGGTGGCTTCCGGAGAGTTGCTGCAGTGATTCCGAAGTGAACCCAGTTGGGGGGGGAGTTGCAAGGGTCGGTCACTCCCGTCACATGGAGCAACAACGAAAGAATCCGGAGTGGTTCGCCATGTCGTTCGACGAACATAGATTCACTGTCCACGACGTTCCAGGACTTTCTCGGCGGGTGAAACCGGCATGGGCCCTACCCATCCGTCGGGCGAGCAAAACACAACCAGGTGTCATTCATCCAATGGCCGGCATCCTCAGACTTCTTGATCATCAGATTGTAGGTGATGGTATCTGGCAGAAGCCCCTCTTCTTCCAGGCTCCTTACAACATGGAAAGCTTCACGCCAGGGTTCATAAATGTTGATGGCAGTATTGTAGTTGATGAGGTGCGCCTCAATCCCATGAAGCTTCAGAAGTCTTGCCGCCATCTGCCACTGTGCTCTGCATGGGGTGCAGCCGTTATAGCTGATGCTATCTGGAGAAACTTGGAGATGCTTCATCCGGCACAAGAGTGTCAAGCTGGAAAGCCAGTGTGAGCTCTTCGCACAGCCACTCAAGACGTTATTGTAATTCACCAAATCAGGTCTGGTCCTGAAGTTCTTCATCTTCTCCAAGAATCTCATACTCATCCACCAGGACCTACTAAGCTTGGTTTGGTTGAGCACGTGGGAGCAGCTGATGACATCTGGCCAAATGAGTTTGTGGAGCATTGAGGTGAAAAGCCCTAAACCGACCCACCACTGGGCGGAGGAGATGAAACTGTAGCTGATGCAATCTGCCTCAAGGCGTAACAGATCCACGCGCTTCAACCTTGGCTCCATGACCAAAACAGACACCGTCGAGCCCCGACCTAAAGCCCCTTCAGCATCGTTTAGCCATCGTTCAGCCACGCAAAGCAGAAAGAAACACCGGTGATTGCGACCGGTGATTTGCGAGCGGTGGTTTCAACTCCGACACGACCTGTCTGGGACTGCCAGGACTGCCGATCAGGCCAGGGGTGGTGTTTGGGGGTCAAGAAAGGAAACTCAAGACTTCCAAGACCAAAGAGACATGTCCAAGGAGATCTCCCAGAGCTCCGATCGGGCTGAAGCAGTGATGCCCCGGTTCACTCTCATGAGTTCCTCGGCGACACCAACGGAGCAGCTGAGGTGAACCAGAGCAGGGATTGATGGGCGCTTGGGTTTGGACCCGTTTGAAGCCCGGAAAAAGGCGGGGGTGTTTGTGTTTTTTTCAATGAAATAGACCCAACGATGAAATCACCAGAAAAAAGAAAACCGCCGCCAATAAAAAATCCCCCAGCCATCGAGTCACCAGTGGGTGAACCAAACATATCAACACGATCCGCCCGGAGTCCCCATGCAGGGTTCTGATTGGGTCTGATTCTTGACACTTTGCACTTCTCATCCAGGCACAAGGTCTTTGACCGGGGTACTTCTGTGGCCTCTGCCACCTCACTCCACCATCTGGCTAATTTCTTTTGAAAGCCTGCTTCTGGACCAGATTGGCTTTCCCAAAGCAACGGCTTGGTCATGTTTCCTATCAGATCCAATCTTGGCCCGAGTTCACCTGTAGCCTGTAAACCTCAAAGCGCACCACTGGAAAACTATCCTCAGGGTGTACAGGATGTTTCTTCTTTACAACTAGCAATGAACCGGTGATATTCTTGACAGTACAGTAGTTTATGCCGCATCATCTAGAACTCTTTCATGTCAAGTGTCCCACCAGTCGATGCAGTCTGACTCCCGATTCTCGATTCTCCGAAACCCTGGTCCTCCACCGGTCGAGGCCGCTGCCTTCGTCCAAGCTTCGGAGGCCGCGCAGGGCCGCGCCCCACCGCGGGAGAGAAGCGCACGCTTCCATGACGCTGCAGCGGGGTCTGCGGCGTCGGCAACGCGTGCGGTTCCCGCACCTACCGGGGGGGTGGGTGCAACGGATTGGGTGGACGGGACTAGAGAGGAATCAATCCGGCCGCAGATGAGAGGAACCAATGAAAAATGACTGATACTTGGTTTTGAGATAACTTTGTGAGGGAACAAGGATCTGGCATTCATACACCTTCAAGCGTAGGAGTATAGGGGTGCAAGAAAAAGTATATATGGGATGGCAAAAAAAGATTGTTGCCAGTTGTCCTCGGAGTAAGAAAGGAATCCGGTAGTTTCTGGCCAAAGTTTCGTTTTAGACCGTGGCTCACATGGTTTCCACACTGATTCACTGTAGTTGATGTTGCAGCGCACCCCCGATGTATGGAAACATCTCTTCCAGTCAGAATTGATGGGCTGATCCCGTGATCCCACAGGCTGTAGGTCTCTTGTAGCAAGTGTTTAATTTGTATACTATTATAACGTAGTCATTTAAGAACACCGACATGGATCGAAACATTCGAAACCCAAATAGATTCTACCGCTCTCCCAAGTGCTTGAAGATGGTCCAATGTGAAGCGTGACCATCGTTGTTGACCGTCACCGAATTGTGACATCATGTTCACAATTGTGAAGTCCAACGCCCTGCCTCGTGACCTCTTCACTGCCTTCTCACCCATGTGACCTCGTTCGGGCCCGTTCGGAGTAGCCGCTGCAAGCCGTCGCCTTCGAACGGTCTGGTCCGGGTCTGCGGTGTTTGGTGGTGCCGCTCGGTCCGGCGGGTCGCGGCTTGACAGATCGCTTCCCTTCCTAAAACGAACATCCACCCAAGGAAGAGCGCTGTGGGGCGAGAGACGAACACAAGCAAATGACTGAAAAAACGGTCACAGAAAATAGAAGCTGAAAACAGGGCCTCCATCTATTTATATCCGCCAACCGCTCCGTGGACCCCAAGTCTTGCATAGACGCACTCCACCCGAAACGGGCCCGTCAAAGGAGCCGTCTTGAGCCAGATGCAACAAGCGCCGCTCAAAAACTGGACCTCATCCGGTACATCAAGTGGATTGGCCATTTTGCGCTTTGTGCGGAAAAAGTTGAAGAGGTTCATCTAGTTTCATGCTTCAAAGTTGCACCGCGATGCTTCCAGCCAAGGCAAAGTCATACATCATAGACTGCAGGTCACCCGTAAAGGACAACTCTGCAAAGTTTCCAACACCCCTAGAGATGCATCTAAAGCCATTCTTGAGACGGGGCGGGGCCTTATTTGACCCCGCTCAAGACTTGAACCGCTCCATTTCCAAACTTGCATGGCTAACCCACTGCTTCAGCTAGCTGTTTCTCGTTTTTCACGAGACTTCTGGACCGTGTAGCTTCTTGCTCCGTTCGTAGCGATGCCAGGAGCCCCTAGTAGCGTCCTTGCTCCGTTCGTAGCGATGCCCTTTGCTCCGTTCGTAGCTTCTTGTTCCTAGTAGAACACGAAAGAGCAGGCTTTAAGGCTTTGCCAACCATGATCGACTTGGCATTTGACCGAGGAGTCTCTGATGGGGGTCTGCTGAATCCCCTCTTCGCCCCCGCCTGCGCCACCGTCACGAGGCGCCGCAAGGCCACCACATGGCTACGCACCTCCGGAGTGACTGGAGGTGAAGCACCTGGTTCTCGTCATGGTTCAAAACTCGAATGTATCTCAACTACACCTTCCAGACCCTCCAGAGGATCGTGTCCTTCTAGAGATCCTGGATTCTGAATGTCCAGGGGGACGCCCCTGATCCTGGATTGTGAACCGTCAATTGGGAAGGGTTTCCTGGATTGTAAACCGTCAATTGGGAAGGGTTTATCTTTCTTTCCAGGCCTAATATCTCTTCGTGATGGAGTGCAAAATCCTCGGCCTGCGATGGTTTAATGAGTTCTATTTGGGGCCGCCAGTCAAGCCGCTAGCCTCCCCTTGCCTAGGCTGCGTAAGGAACGGTTTCAAAATGGTTTTTTTATGTTGGGGTCCCCAACTTGGAGGTTCTTGCGGAAAAGACTAGAAGAAGGGATCTGTGAACACCAAGGAGCACCAGCGTGGATAGAAGATAATTTCTGATAATTATGATACATGAATATGAACAAAGAACCAGAAAAACCAAGACTGTTTTCATCAAAGAAGGCCCTAAAGCCACTTCTGTCTAATCTCGAACTTCTTCGGGGTACTGTAGATCGGAAGTACTACGGTACTCCCACCGGAGATCTCTGGTGGCGCGCATGTTCAGAGAGCGTGGATGTCCGATACCTAAAGGATCCTTTGGGTTTACTAAAGGTATTAAATTGTTATGTGGCTGTAGGTCCAAAACCCAGAGCCCTGAAACAACTTGTAGGTTGACCTCTTTAGTATGGTCTATTCTAGTTCATTTTAGTCAACCAGGGAGGTTCCCCGGTTTTGACCCACAGCCATGTCTTTCGGTGACCGAAACGAACCTTCTTGTACTTCAGAAGATCTATTTTATGCAAAATATCGTCTTTGGACCGAACGCAGTTGTACTCTTCTGGTTGTGATGGTGCTACGTCGACTTGAGGATTCTTATCTACAGTGTTGACAACATCATTGTTCGCCGGGCTCGCCAACTATTTATTGACGAAAATGCAGCAGCACCGACCTATGTCTGCTGTCTGCACAATTGGTGTTTCAAAACAAAGAAACATGAGGATCACGCATACGGATCACGTCCCAGTCCCAGTCCTACGGATCACCCAACCCTCCACTGAACCCGTGCCGCTTGTCCTGCGCCACCCGACCTCCTCGTCATCCATGGAGGACTTCACCCTCTGCGCATTTAACCGTTGGGCGGTGCGTGCCTGACGGATGGCATGTCCGGAATGATGCATATCCTTGGCAAGACAATCACAGAAATTGAGCTCCATGGGATAAGAACAAAGACATGCCATATCCTTGCAGAACACAACCTGTTTGAATCTTGGAGTGAGGAACTTTCCGGCCACAGCCTCAAAACATGTGTGCAAGTGCGTGCGTCAACCCTCCCTTCAAACGGTGTCGAACATGACTTTCCTGGTGAGTGGCGCTTGAACATGAATTTGGGCTAGTATGCACTACATGAGCATTAGGAGAGAACCTCCTAGTCCAGTTCTTACTGTTGAAAGGAAGCTTCTAGTTACTAGTTCCTGGACCCTGCTATCCCCTGATGGCATCTGAATATTCAGAAAGAAATGTCTTACCCGCAACAACCGACTCAGGATCTTCCAGGTTTTGCAGGACCTCCAGTGTCGGTGGATAGCCCCCCAGTGGTTCTCGCTGTCGTTTTTGGAAGGGCGGAACTTTGGCGTCATTGAACTCTGGCTCTTGGTCCAAACAAAGCAGATTCCCAATGAGAAAGAGTTTGCTGGGCTAGCATGTCGGCTCAAACCACGACAACACCTGGATCTATGATGAGCTATCCCAAGATTGGCAGAACTTCTCAGAGTCTCAAACCACGAGTCCCACCTCCTGCGGCTCCTGCGTGACTCGACCCACGTCGTCACGACGTCTCAAACCGTCGTCACGACGCGTCCACGACCGTCCAACCGACCCGTTCGCAGCCTGCTTCCACCTGAGGAGTCGAGCAGGTTCGCTTCGTCCAGCGAACCGCGCTGCGTCCGACGGAAGAACGGGGGACATGGTTTTAAAAGAGACGTTCGCGGGGCGAGCGAAGCGCAAGCATGTCCAGCTGGAGCACAGTTCCTATCTTCTGCTGTGACCCACCACCTAGACTTCATGGGATTCTGCCGATTTCTCATCTCCTGGTTGGCTCCTGTCAGGAAAGACCCAGGGAAGCGAGCTTGGAAAGATTCAGTGGCGACCGGCAACTTGGCCCAGTGGCGACCAGAGGCTCCCTCTTCTAATGCACACCTATCTGACTGTTGGGGAAGGGACTCTTGGCAACCTCTTGGCAAGCAAGGCAGCCTTCTCTGTCGACGGTAGCAAAATCTAATCACTTTCATGTGGTCGTCCATTGCAAACATAAGCTGCCTCCCTGTCTGGCGCTGCCGTCCGGAAGCGCACGTGTGGCCTCGCGCTGCCGTTCACACGCTGAAAAAACCCCACCCTTCACCAAAGCGGCAACTTCTCTTTTCTAATGCAAGTTGTGCGGTCCAAGATGGTAGGGGATCATCTGCACCACCCATCTGGGGGCCAGACGGACAACAGCTGGACGCGCGACGCTGGAGTCAATCGTGCCATCGAATCAATTAGATGACGACTGATCATCAGGCTACAGTAGATCAATGTAAATCACATGGATAGATGGTGTTTCAATGGAGTGATCCATCTGTTGGATACACTTTTTTTTGCATCGATCCAACTCCTTCTTTTCGATCACCTCGCCATGATGGAGTTGGAGCACCCATTTTTGGGTGCCCCGTGTGATGGAGCTCGGATGGACTCCTTTTCTGATGGAAGAAATCCAGAGATCAGAATCAGAAATGGACATCCATCCATATGCACAAAAGCACAAAAAGAAGCGGTGAAGTGGTTCTGAATGTCTTCCAAGAGCATGCGGATTTTACACCCCAGGCAACCAAAAAAACATGGACATGTCGGTGTGTCTCCAATCACAGAACACTTAGTGATCTTAGTCAACAATTGATTTACAATGAGCGACGGTCCCAGCTGATCGACCGTGCCCTCTGTTGACACACCCAGTTTGTTCACTAGGGTTGTTGACCACGAGAAGTAGGAGGTGTTCCAAGCATACCTCGACCACTGGATTTGACCCTCAATCAAAGACTGATCAAGCAAAATCTCCGATGTGCAAGGGCGAAACGGGCTTTCAACTCACGGATCAATCCATTCTCTAAAGCGAAACTCACGAAGGATGGCTGGAAAGTCAGCTCCGAAGGGCAATCAAACATTGCGAGCTGGTTGCTTGGCACGTCCACTCTGGCCAGATTCATTGGCAAACTGGCATCAAAAATTACTGCCAGGCACCAGCCGTGAACGGCCTCTGCTCAGATGGAAAGCCAGTTGTCCACCAGATCCACATTAAGATCCCGACAAAAGGACAATCATGAACAATCTGGAGGCATGGAAGAGTCGAAGACCCTGTCACAATAATTAGGCCACAAATGGCTGTACAAGCCTTCCACACATGGAGGGAGGCTGCGCTGAAAAAAACCTGCAGCCATTCACACATGCAGGTGTTTCCACCCATCCATTCACACCCCAAAGTTGTGACCCTCCTCTTCATTCTCGGAAGAGCCATCGTCTTCGGCCCTTGACGCGGGTACTGCCTCGGACTCCGGTGACTTGATCCGTCGGGTCTTGCTTAATCCTTTCAGGTCCACGGTGATTCGATTCCCGCTCATCGCCATGATGTCCACAAAGTCCTCCTCAAATCGAAAGTCTGCCGGATAGTAGCACTTGTTGGCAAAGACCTTTTGCATGTACGTCTGATCAGTCCCTTCCAGTTGCACGACCAGGGCCAAAAACTTCTCTTGACAATTCGTTTCATCCAAGCCAAACAAGGGACTCTCCTCATCCAAGCAGTGAATCAAATTCCACACCGCTCGAAACATCATGGTGCTGCCCCTTTCCAGCTTGCAGGACGCTAAGACTCTCAGTCCGGCCTCCGAGTCGCGCACTAAGGCGCTCACACGGCAGGTGACATCGAACAAGCAGCTAAAGGGCCGTTCGTTGACGATGCGGAAGCTGATCGTCGGGCAGCCGCGGACGGTCTTGAGCGACCTCACCAGGGCCACGTCGGAAAAGGCGACGCGGGAGCCGGCCGTGCTCACGCGCGAAAAGAGGAGCCCACCACCTGCAGCGCCCATGAGAATGGACAGCCAAAACTCCACCATGACCAAAGCATCAGTGAAGCGTGAGTTGGAGACCACCGTTCCAAAACCAATGGTGGACATGGTGTGAACGGAGAGATTCAAAGCATCCCAAACAGTACAGTCTTCCTCCTTGGCCAAACAAAGGATGCCATCCTTCTGCACCAAGAAAAAGAGGAGCCCAAAGACTCCAATCATGGTCAAATACCTCGGTTTCATCGACACATTTCGACTATATAGTAGTTCAATCCAACCAAGATGTTACGAGGTCCTTTAGACCTGCGGTGAGGCTTTGACTTGGGTGGCCGCTGAAGGAGGCTGAAGGAGGCCATCTTTCGCAGTTGGTGCCTACTGGAAAGTTGAGTTTCTATCATGTTGATCAAATGCAAAGCTTGAAGCCACACATCTGCAGTTTTCTAGGATTAGATATATCGTTTGTTGCCTATTATGATCAATCTAGTGTATACCTTTCTACCAAGCAACGCCAGAAGCAGACCTGAGAAAGCAGGCAAGAAAAAGGCGCACGCTCACAAAGGTTTGAATCTCAATGGAGTGATCACTTGTTCCACTGGTTTCACTGGTCTTCGGTCTTCGAGATTTCTGGTCCAAACATCGGTGAGGACATCTGTCGGTCCAATGTTCGACTCGACTCGACCAGTCTGCGTCTGTTCTGAGGCGACCCGACACAGCAAGAACTTGCTCCAAGAGGTCCGAAGCAAGAAGAACACGCAATCTCCGATCACCTGGACATGCGACATGCGGCCGGACGCCCGAACAGACACGCTGCAAGCTAGCGAGGAAAAAGGCGTGAGTTGAACGAGACGTGTTTAACGCGACGTCATGAGACCGGAGGGAAGAATTGTTGAGGCTTTTGCCAGTTTACTTGACAGTTCTATTCATTTCTATTCTGTGGCTGACACTACGGCCATTGGAGCTGTCAAGCTCCATGGAATCCTGGAAGGATGCAAAACATCGATGGCATCCGATTCAGTCGACACACCGGCACACTCGTTTGGCCGATTTGAATCGATTTGACAGGTCTGAAAAGCATGTTGCGGGATGTACAGTCCATTGATTCTATTGCTTCAACAAAGCTGTGGTTTCCATCCCATCCATTCCCAAAATTCATTCTTGCTCAGATCCCTGCCCCCCCAAAATACGACCCCTTTCCTCCCATATGCCTCCGTTCACCCCTCTCAATCTCTGCTCTGTCCACCACCCCACCACACCGGGGTACGCGGTACACGTAAAATAACCACACCACAGCCGCGCCTGAGTTCGTGATCCTTTGACAGCCACCTGAACCTTGCCACTGAGGTCATACTGAACTGGGAGTTCTGGGACCTGTCCTGGACATGCCGGACATGGGACATCATTGAGACATCATGGGACACAGGAACAAGCAAGAACGTTGCAGAGTCCAGCGTTGCTGGGCTCTTTCTACAGGGAAGAAGGAATATAATATAAGTCAATGATCCAATGCGAGTTCGTTCCATGCAGCGCAACCACAATTCTCCCGAAAGACATCTCTGCCAGGCCGATGTGGCATTCCACATTGTCGGTAGACACACACAAGATGTACAGCCGGGAACTGGTAGTTGGTTAAAATTGGTGTGTGTTTAACAGGGAGACCTTTCAAAGAACATCTGGAAGAAGGATAATACCATTTCCTCTGGGACCATTGCTTACGGTGCAGCATTGGTTAATCGAACAATCACTGAGTGGCGGTCTTTGAGAACTTCCATGGTGCAATGTCTGGGATGTTTTCGCTCGGGATCCAACCCTTGGTTGTCAGCATGTGTTTGCGGCAAGCTCACAGATCCGCAGCTTAATGACTTGTTGAGGAAGATCAATGTCTTGGCGCACATATTTCTTTCACCCATGGGATCGTGCGGGACTTCTTCGGAGGATGGCGACAGTGAACGCTGCGTGAGCCCATCAGTCTTGCGGTACGCTTTGCGGTACGTGTGTGGGATGGAATTGCCATTCACATGGCCTTGTTCAGCACTCGGGTTTGCGTTTCGGACCACCGGGTCCCAGAACATGTTCGGACCGTCTTGCACGTGGGGACCGTCTTGCACGTGTGCTTTCGGTGGTCCCGTAAAGGATTCGACAGCATTTGACAAGTGTTTTTGATGCTTCTTTGGCTAAATTTACGCCAAGAGATCAGGGATCGATTGCCCTGGCAGGGAAAAAATTGACCACACGCAACGCACCTTGCAAGTACAGTCGGAATGTCAAGGATGAGTTCTGTACTTTGTGCAGTCAGGCAGACTCAGCAGACTCAAAAGAGCATGCCCCCAGTTGCGTGATGTGAGAAGCAAGTACCCAGGTCTTTTTCCAAAGTTGCGAGCTGGCCCGCAAGCTTTGTGGCAGTTTGGACTGGCTCAGACTTCTTGGGCAGGTTGGCACTTTAAGATGCAACTCCAAGATTGTTTACCTGCCGAAAAGTGGTGCCTCAGGTTTCCGACAAGGTCGCGGTATTTACAGATGGGTCTGCCTACCTTCAGGACACCCCGCAATTCACCATCTCTGCAGGAGCTTCCATCCTTGTCTCTGAGCAGGGGTATACGGTGATCGATGCACAGTTGGTTCTGGGAGCAGACCACAGTTCATACCGGGCTGAAGTGTGGGCAATTTTGTTGACATTGCAAAAAGAATGGGCACCACAGTTCTTCACTGACTGTTCAGCGGTTGTTGAATTGTTGGCCAATATGATCCTTGCTAGGGCCCAAGGTTTTCCTTTCATCCTTGCAAACATTGGGACTTGTGGGAGTCCATTTGGGTGCACTTGCTTCTTCGCCCGAAGTGCTTGATTTCCACTACTAAAGTTGAGGCACATACCAATTGGGCTCAGGCAGCTTCTCCACATGAAAGATGGTTGGGACGCTGGAATGCAAGGTTGATGCAGTGGCTAAGCGTGTCATTTTACATGACAATCAGCAAATATACCATAAGTTGTCACAATCAGCATCAGTTGAAAACTGTGAATGATTTCCATAGTTTTTGGGTTGAAGCAACAACTCGTGCAATGGCTAGCAACGACACTGTCTCTTCGCAGGCGACTTCGCACCCTGATTTTGATACTTTCTATGCGACGGGACGGGCTTCCTTCCCTTTCCGCAATGTTGACTTGAATGCCTTTTGGGCGTGGTTTCACTTTCAGGTTCTTGAATTGGTTTGAGAAGGTGGGTGGCGTTCAAATGCTGCTGAGAGTGAATGTTTGTTGGAGTTGTACGTTGCTTTCGCTTTGGACTCCAACTCCATGATGCCAGTGTATTTGAGAACGCTGAACAAGAAAACCAAGTCGCGTGAATCTGCTTACGTACTGAGAGAAGAGTCAGTGATTGCTGACGAGTTCAGGAGTGATTTGAACACACAACTTCGTTCATTGCTTCAATTTTTCAAATGGCACAGGTTTCCGTTTACCGAGGAGGACTTTGTCGCCTTGGGTATCTTAGTGCTACCTCTTATGTATGGACAGTTCATTTTCCCCCACGGTTCGATTACTTGTCAGACCCTGTGGGATTACTTTCACCAGGGTCGCAGATCATACAATTTGAAGGCCTCTTGGCGTCCTTTCAATGGGACGAATCGGAGGCCGAGATCTCCAGAGTTGATTTCCTTTGTGCACAGTTGGTTGAGGATTTTGATTTCTGTCTACCTTACGCATAGCTGAGGGTAGCCATTGCATGAGACACATGCGTGAAACGACAAAGACCAAAAAACCATCAAGTTGGCTGTCCCCCTATGAAAAATACAGACCTAAATGACTAAAAGGACATAAAAGGACCAAACGATTACATCTTTCCATTGCCTTCCCCCGTGTTTTGCACCACGCGATGTGGGGCCGAAGAGGGCCGACGCACCTGCAGTAGTGATAGAAGGTCTCCGGAACCCATAGGCTCGCATGGCTGTGTGGACAACCCTGCACTCCCAAAATGAGCACTAAATTGAATTGGCTTCTGAAAGTCAATTGATTCATGCCCCCAAATGACCATGCCCCAGGTGACTCTGTCTCGGTTTTGATCCATTCCCAAATCCGCAGCATTCCGCAGTGCTGCAAACCAAATGCTTTGCCTCGAGCCGAGATCCCCGATGAACAAGGCATGAAGGGTAGAGATGGGTGGAGGAGTCCAATTCCCTTTCATCGACACCATCTGCGGCCCAAAGAACGCCAAGGACGTCATCTTCATTTCATCAGTGACAAAATTCATGGTGCAACTCATCCATCAGCTCCACAGGCAGGTCTGCTGTCCCTTAACTTCGATTTGCGTGTGCTTTTCACCAGATTGACCACATCTGCCATACATCATTCCAGCTCAGGGATTCCGGACTGTGATCCTCGTTGTTGAAACCATTGCTGGTCGATAAAAAGCCCCAGCAAATTGGTCCTAGTAAAGGAAACATTATCTTCCCAACTCCGCTGCTATGCCAGCCAGCTTTGGTTCGGAGGATACCACATGACCATTTCAAGGAAGTGCAATCGCAACTGCTGAACCTACTGGCCTGGCTCATCTGACGTTCGCCCCTCCACAGCCCATTCAGAGACCATGACTGCTGCGGGTTGGTATGGGCAGGAGCCTCCCGAACGCAAACCGACGTGGCGTTGGAACACACACTTCGTCACGCCCTTTCGAATCCCATGTGCATGTCAGCTCGTCTCTTGGGCCAGCGACATGCGTCCTCTGTCCACGCCGGACAAGCCATCCATGCCACCCTCCATAAGGGTAGGCACCTGCAATGAGTTGGCACCAAACAAGTGTTTTCCCGGCGGAGCTGAACAGGAGAACGGGCGCAACCAGCCCCACGCTAGGCCAGTGACTCGCTGTGCGCTGTGGGGATGACCAATTCCTTTACTGAACTGAACGAAGCCTTGGGAGAACCCCAACTGCAATGCAGGAAAGTTGCGCAGCTTGGCGATTGCGAAACTGATTGGATACTAGGCCAAAAACACATCAACCACCGCAAGAGAAGTTTTTCCGGGTAGAATATGGTATCCTTCAAAATCTCGACCCTGCCCTCGTAGCTTGTGGAAGTGATCGAATTTGCAGTTGATGTCTGTTTTTGCCAACCAGCTGGTCTCCCATTCAGCCGATCCTTGCCTCACTATGCCAGGCCTTGTTGCCAATGGCCAGGTCCAAATAAGCCTCACAGGTGGAAACAAGCAAGGGGCCCCTCAGGTGCTTAGGAAAATAATCCTCGCTACGGTGGTTGCTAGGGCACCTTCCAAAATCAGGGGAATGTCCTCCCCTATGAAACCAACAAGGAACTTGACACAAGTGGTGGTCATGTACTTGACAGAAGTGCAGATATCGGGTGTGCAAAAACGAGCAGCTCTTGGACAATCCGATGCACACACAAAGACAAACCATACAGTAAAGTCAGTAAAGGACAAAGGCCCAATTATCTAGCTGCTAACAATCAGTGACAGCATCTTCTCCTGCTTACTCTGAAAAAAGGGTTGAATTTCTGGATTTGAAGAGCAATAGCAACACGTTCGGTCAACCATTCCGATACTTAGTATCTGGTGGAAAAAACCATGAAAAAATATATAGCAAACACGGCGACACATAGAGCTCCCCGTGGCGGCTTCAGTCGGTGCAGAGCGCAGCTCAGCGTCTCTTTGCGTCGAAAGCTGCGATCTCAGAAAGCGATCTAAGGAGCTGAGGGGGATGATGGGAAGCATCGGCTAAAAACAAACCTTGGAAAACCACCTGTGCATAATGGAAAACCACATGACATGCTTAGAGGATGTACAGTATGTGGATGTATGCTCGAAATCTATCGTGACAACAGGCATTCTAAGCTGACGTGTTCGGATTGAAACAGCTCACCTGTTGCCCTTCCAACAAAAGTCGCATTGGATGCGAAACCTACGAAGGAAATGGACAGGACCACTGGTGATCTCTTCGACCCAAAATCAGCTCGCACAACTCGTGCGCGTGTGCATGGTAACACACCTGTGGAGGTTTCCAACAAGCTCATTCTCATTCTGCATCATCCGGATGCAACCACATTACGACCAGAGGGTTTGGAGGGAGACCCAGTTCTGATGCTTGCCTCAGGGCAACAAAACCCAAAAGGTGCTGGACCTATCCGATACCAACTGATCAAACAAAGCAGGGACCCACGGCCCTACCTTGTATAGGATCTGTTCCAATCATCTCCCATGGATCCGTGACCACGGATCCGATTTTGTCCGATTTTGGGGGAACCTGAGAAGGCTCCACCAACCGGGGCTAGGCCAAGCAAATCGAGCCACAGGACATAGCCTTAAATATCCTGAAATCAGAACCACTGTCACTAGTGTTTGGTCTCAAGAGGGTGTCTGGCAGACTCCACGCATCTATATTTTTGTGGAGCAATGAAGGGCCCCTGTTGAAGGGAAGCATCAAGTTCAGGCCTCCCCAGTTCTGTGTCCTCTAGGTCTGTTAAGGTTGCAGCTGTGGTGGGTCTCGTCACTTCAGATCAAGTACCCCGCACTTCAGGAAGGTTGAGCTTTAAAAACACACCTTCCAAGTCTTTGTTCCACAAGACCACCTGCTTAGGTCCCGCCCCCCACATGCTTTCACTCGAAGCATGCTATAGGGATCCAACGGCAGTATGTTGCATGGCCCAGTCTGCCCGAGAGGGCGCCCTATGCACATTGGTCGCTCCAGCCACCTGTCTGTCTAGATCTGGGTTGCGAAATCCCCAGATTCAGGAAAAGCCGCTGCAAGAATGGGGTGAAGTGATGTTTTTGATGGTCTTGGCATGGTCTTGGCCAAAAGAGCTCGAACTCGCCACGGGGGCTTCTCCAAAGGCTACACAGCTGGAAGCAGAAGTGACGCGCCCAGTGGCTTCAGTCGGAAACGGCTTTGGCCGCCTGAAGCGACGGAAGCGAAAGAGCCGTCGACTGAAGCAGAGCAGAAAGGTCAACTGAAGCAGTTGATTTATGTTGAACATAGATCCAACCTAATAGCGATGGCCTCAAACCTAATCGGAATGACCTCCAACCTAGAAGCAATGGCCTCCATCATTCGGCATGCTTCGCATGGTCTGCTATTTCATTGACCACTCATTTAATGAATAGGCTTCTTAATGGGAATCTTCGGTCATGTTCTCAGGCAGCTTCCAGCATCTAGAATCTAGAACTTACTCCTCGATTTCAAACGGCCTGGTCCGCTCGAGCGGCTCCCCTGCCTGCGCTCCATCTCATCACCGCTCTGCGCTCCATCTCATGGTCTCAAGTTGACTCAAACGGTCTTCCAAGGTCGCAGCATCACTCTGCATGGACCTCAGCTCAGGCGTTTGGGATATATTTCTCACCACAACTTTCCAGCTTGTCCTGCCACAAACTTTCACAAATACCTCCCAAGAAGTTCTCCCTGGGATCCAATATGAATCTGTATCTGTTGAAGAAATCCTGAACCAGTTGGAAGACGCATCTGCCACAAAAAAAGAAGAACATAGGAGTAATAGGAGCTCAACTTCAACACCTGAAAAAGACATATATATATATCGTACATATTATATGTATATACACTCAGTCCTCTGTCTTTCCGTGCTTTCCAGGCAACGAGGCCAAGCTCTGCAGCAACTGGCGGGTGAGTGCCTGCCGCATCTGGGCAGCTGCCTGCACCCAACGGGCACCAGTCGGTGCTCAAAAGCGAATCTGTTCTACGAAGAGCTATGCCCAAGCAAACAGGATCTCTCACAGAAGCTTCAGTCACACCAACATATCTCTGTCCAGGTTCATGAACATGAACATCGGGAGGTTTCTTGGAGTGTAGAAACCGCTATCAAACCTAGTGATTCACTTTGCAGAAACCTGGAACAAAGTCATCGATTGAATTAAATCATTTTAGGGATTCAACATTTCACCCTCAAACAGGTTCGATCTTAGTTCAGTGGAGACAGGGTGATCGACCACCCTGTAAAGCATCAGTACTACAACTACACCCAACAAGCCAAGTCTACTCAGCCACCTCAACAAGTCCAACCAAATCCTCCCCAACAAAATGTTCTTCAACAAAACCGGGACAAACGAACCGCCCCCTCCATGCCCTGCTCCCACCCACGGCCCCCCCGCCTCGGGCCCCACTGCGCCGCTCGCGGCCGCGGCCGGTGCGCCGCTCAGCTCAGCGACAAGGCGGCGGCCCACAGCGGCCTGGTCCTCGCGGTGAAATCCAACCCACATCGAAAACCGGAGCCGTGGGTTTAGTGGTGAAGAAAAATGCTGCTCTTCTTCGGAGGTTTTTGAATAAGGATGTCCTGTATCCATATCATCCATATCTGGAATCCTGCATCAATTCAGGTAAGTATACACAATATATATAGATATAATTAGATATATGGGTGCGTATTTTAATAGGGAGACCCCCAACCAATGGGTTTGGGTCTAAGTACTTCCTTTCTTCCATTTGAGTTACACACATATGGTAGATGTCGGTGTTTGACCAAAGGTCTTCTATTCTTTGTTCCTAAAGATCTAGGAACCAAATGAATAGTGCGTCAGCTATCCTGCGTCCAGTAGCTACTAGCTTGCTTGGCCCTTCCTTAATTAAGTGGGCGCCTACTTAGTTAAGTAGGGAGGGCAGGGCCACGGGCTATGATGTTTTAAAACAATGAAAAAGCAAAAAAACTCACAGAAGTAGAAAGGTCCTCTATTTGGGCCGCCAGGGCCACCATTCCCAAATCCACCGATCTCTCATCTGCCCGATCACACGGCCGAGCCTCGCGGGTCAAACCTCTTCCGTCCACGTCGGGCGCTTGCCGCGCGAAATCTTCCAGTTGTTGGTGGCGCTCCTGGAGCTGTCGGTCTGTGCTTCAGTCCATGCCAGCAGTCGGGTTCTAGGTTGCGAAAGGCTCATTCGCTCCAAAAATAGGGCGGGTACCCCTCAAGATCCCCCGGGTCAATGGAAACCATTGCTAAAACCAGGGATCTTCTTTCCTTGAGCCACATTCAAATAGAAACATGTCTTCAAGACACTTCAGTCTAAAGGTTCCCTGATTCAGTCTAGTCTGGGGTTAGTTACTACAGACAGGAACAAATAACATGGCATAACCCTGTGCCATGGTATGGAATTACTCTATATATATATATTCATATATACTGTATAAAAGACATGAATGGCTTTCTCAACCACGGAATTGGTTCTCACTGTCAGCCATTTTGCATTGCGGCATCTCAGCATCTCCTGCCAGCTTTGGAAATCAATTCCGCAAAAAAGATCGTGATGAGTAATTACTTCGGCATGTCAACGGTTCTATATAGTGGGTCAAAAGTTTTGGGTTATAGACTCAGTACCCTGGTGGGTCAACCTATATACTATAACCACTATATGAAAGCCACATTGAATGATGATGCCCCAAACCAGGGTAGGTTGACCTCCTTACTAGTCCATTCTGTTCATTTTCTCCGGTGCCATGAACCCACACCCATATATTCTCAGGGTGGAGGCCATCGCTACTGTATTCATGTATTCCATTCTATACCCTATACCAGGTCCCAAAGACGACCAGGTCCCAGTCAAAGCTCCTCCCTTCGACCGTATGAGGTCCGCCAGATGTACCGGACGCATGCGGCGTACGCGGACTCGACCGTACACTGTGGCGGACCTCAGGTGTGGAACCACGTGGAACAACGCGTTTAGCAGGTCCACATAGCTGGATGAAACATACTACTATATAAGCGCTTTGATCTTGGACTGCAGTCATTCAAGACCCTTGCGCATCACACTGAAGGGATGCATACTACTTATGTACCTGTGCATAGTCCTAATGATAGAACATTTAATTCATACCTCCTTCATACCTTGTCTTACTTTTAAGTGCTTTTCTCATACTATTTAATCGTGCGTGCTGTTTGTGGTGGACATCATGTCCAACCCATGCAGCAGCACAATGGCAGCCTTGCTGCCTTTCCATCAAGGCTTTCTGGTGTACTGCCTTTTTGGGGGGGAGGCTTTCAACAGCAGCAGCAGGCACCTGCTTTCTTCCCTGCAGCAGGCACCTGTTGTCCTGAGCAACCTTGACCCATGGAACCTTGATCTGCTGCCGCTTCAACTAGATCAATATTGCCCTGAGGGTGCCCCGACGGGACACGGGCTGATGTCTTTTTCCTCGGCCTTGACAACTAGATCCAAGCCCCCAGGCCAGGTGTCCATTAAGAGCCCCTTACAAATCAAGGGGTGCTCATTCACCACCTCACCAGTGGGTCGACACACTTGAACCTCGCCACTCCTCCGCTACGACGCCGGCACAAAAGGAGTGATACGGCGGCACTCAGTCTGTGAGAAGGGCTTCGTCACATTTCAAGCGCGTCATTTTTTTGAGGGGACCGAGTTTTACATTGAGAGCAAGTCCTCATTTCATTGTCACGGATGCCAATCAAAGTCCAAATTGTTGCAAAAGTTTATCGGAGACCTCACTTACTACCTCACATATTCATATATCCTCGCATACTCCCATGCTCAAGCAACACAACGCCGGCAACGGCCCGTCTCCTGCATGCGCTTGTCGATGAGCAAGTCTCTCTGCCTCCTCAAATGCTCAAGCCGCTTCAGCCGCTCTTCCTCGGAGGGCTCCACATGGCTCTCATCGGACAGCAGACGCAGGCGCCGCGCCTCCTATTCGGCGATGGCCATGCGGCACGACACCGTCTTCGTGGCCATGCGGCAAAAATCGGATCCTCCAAGCCCAGTGGCACAAGGAAAAGAGATTTAAAGCTACCCCATGGCTCCTCTCTTTGCACCCGGCTTCAAATCAACCCGCCTCGCGGCCCGAACCCGAGACCTCCGGTGTGTTGTTCCACTAAGAAAGACCGGCAGAAAAGCCTCGTAAGAACCAGCTGCAGAAACTCAAAATTGTTCCAAGGAAGTGTTGGACCCCTCCAATGGAAGGGGGTTCTGACACCGAAACGCGGTCCAGACACCTACACCTAACCCTTCTCATGTAAATTTACAAATTTCAGGGTCTAGATTCGGGCAAGAACATGTTTTTGCAAGGGACCGAACACACCGTGTTTTGCCGGTTTGGCACTTCGCTTCACTTCCTATGCTTCGTGTCCTTGAAAACCTCCGGCAGTGGCTCCACCGCCAGGGAAGCCCTACTCTTCCAGAGGCGTAGATTGCTGCGATACTTCTCCACCGCCGCCAGCGAAGCCTTCTTTGGTGGGTGCCAGGGGCGCCGGGAGGAGAATCCAAGATTTGTGAAACCGCCTGTCATGCACTAGGGGCTCCTGGCATCGCTACTAGGAGCAAGGACGCTACTAGGGGCTCCCAGTCAGGGGTAGTTCTACCAGTTTCGATCGGTTTCAATAAAGTTTCGAATGAAGGGATGCTCCACTTACACCCTCAAGGAAGAATCAAGGGGTACCCTCGTGTCACCACAGGTTGGTACCAGAAAGGCTACTCCAAAACCCATGGATTGGACTCAGACCTCGTTGGATGTTCATGCAGCAACTAAATTGTGATGGATCTTCGTTGTTCAAACATGCTCGGGTGATCCGCTTCAACCTGGTTCCGGGTGTCGCCCATCACCAATCGACCCGAAGGACACGAACACGGTGTTCAAAGCGCCAAAACATATCACGAAGCAAAACAGTGCGGTGCATACCCGAACATCGATTCGGTACCCAACACATGGATGTGCGTCTCCCGATGCGATTCTCGTTCTTTCTAGAACCAGGGACGAACTCGAAGACCCGATCGTGACCGGGGTAAATGACAAACACACATCGATTCCGAAGAGCGGAAGAAGAGCCCTGAGCTCTTGGGCCAAGAAGATTCCCTACTTGGGCCGTTTTTTATTTTTTTCGGAGGGGGAGGATTCCATAGGATTCCTCAGATTAGTCATGCAAAGGATTCGCAGCTCCAAGGTGATCACCATGCAAAATCCCAATGTTCCTAGAACATGGTCCTATAAGACCAGGGGACATTCAAATTCACTCAGTCTCAGTCGGCCCGATGGTCCTTTGGGGATTTTGGGATTCGCGTGACCGGGGTCACCTGGCTGCACGACACACGACACAAAGCGTCTCCAAACAGGACACCCGTAAGGACTGACATCCTTCGCAAACATAAAGAGGCAACACGCCACTTGACTTCGGAAAGTCGCCATAGATTGCAACATGGTATCATTACATCATCAAAACGATTTATATTATAGTCGAGTGTTGTCAAATGGACAGAAATCCTCCAAAAAGCTTACCCTCAAACATGTACCAAAGCATCTCTCATCTTTCTGGCCCAAACCTGATCATCAAATCTTCCACCAACACCGTCCACACTTCATCCACGTCCACTGGCCTCCTCCTCTTCCTCCGGTGTCGGCGGTGCTGGCACCTCCTCCGCTTCCGCGTTCTCCTCCGCCGCGGTCGGGACGGCCAGGGCGCGGGGCTTCGGTGGCACCATGCAGAGCGGCGCCGAGATGAAGCCGGCCTTGCCCAGGAGAAGAGAATCCGAAAAAGAGCAAAAATTGATGAATAATAGTTGCTTTTTATTTATGTCTCTTTGTGTTGTTGTTTCCTTTTTTTCTCGGGCCTTGCCCGGGAGCCGCGGCACCGCCGGAGGCGCCGGGGACTCGGCGCACTCGGGTTCGGCGGGCGACGGTGGTGGAGATGGCGGTGGGCGTGGCCTTGCCATCCTTAGTAGCTGGCAAGAGGGAAGATTATGTTTTAACAAAATAGTTGTCAATCTAGCACCTAGTGTTGCATAGACGTGGCAGCAGAGAAGACTGAGTCAGCTGTTGCGCTGCTGAGAGCTACCTTGTGCAGTTGAAAGTATACTGTATACTAAAGACGTAGAGTAGTTCTTTGGTATGTCCCATTCCTAGTAACAGTGGATTTTCCGCTTGGTTAGTAAAGTCCTTTTCTCAAAAACAGTGATCACTGGCGAAACAGGACACATCCCCTGTGCCTACGTCGTCGACACATCCATGGTCACGTACGTCGTGCCTAGGTGCAAGGGAGCGGAGGTGAATCCCCACGGCTTCCGCGCGACCATGGGCGCCACCGGCACCAGCCGCGGCGAGAAGGGCTCCGCGTCCGTGGCTTCCGCTGGCGGAGAACAGGACGCCTCCAGGAAGGGCTTCGGCGGCAGGTGGCACAGGGGCGCTGAGACGAAGCCGGCAGCCAAAGGCGGAGGAGGAGGCTCCACATGAAGATGCTCCTGCATGGTGGAGATGGGGTGGGTGGCTTTTGAAGAGCTGGGACGGCAGAACCGATAAACAGGTACTGGATGAGTTTGTGGAGTCTTTTGGAGACAAAGATCTTGGTGGCGGAAATGAACAGCCAGTGAAAAACCAACTTGTGAGAAACAAATGACCCCATCTTCACCTAGGCTCGGGGCGACATCCGATGGTGACGTAAGAACAGGGGCAAGATGGACGCGGGCGAGACACCAAATGAGCATATGCAGCATAGGAATCTATTATGCTATGCCAGCTGCTATGCTCGTCATCCTCAACTCGATGATTTTCACCTCACATTGGGCCGTCCTGGGCCAACTGTCGCAACTTCTCCTCCTCAATGCTTAGCGACAGCGCGATGGCCTGATGCGCACTGGCCAAGCCAGCGGTTGATTTGGGTCTCATCTTCTTTGCCCTCAAAAAACACCCGACTTGCTGAGCCGTATCGTGAGTAGAACGCTTCGGGCAGTCATGGCCCGAGGAATCTCTCTTTTCAGATCCTAAAGGAAAACCCCTCCGTTCCTGGCCACTGGCCACATCTTCCAAAGATGAACAGGTCATATGACCGATGGGAGAATTGGAGGACCCACAAACGGACAAGCAGGTCGGTGGGCCTGACGCCTTCAAAGTAGTGTCCCCACCTGAGGCTTGGAGCGCCCCTAGTAGCTTCTTGCTATTTCTTGCTCCTATAGTAGCGATGCCCTTTGCTCCTAGTAGCGTCCTTGTTCCTGGCCAGGAGCCCCGTTCGTAGCGTCCGATCGCTCCGTTCGTAGCTTCAAGACTGTCTGACGAGTCTTTCAGAATGTTCGGGACCCCACCCAGCTCCGCCTCCCAACGCGCCCGAACTCCACGCGCCATGTGGCGCCTGTTGCAGCTCCGCCTCCTCGCGCTTGCGGCGTGCCTCGTCGCTCTCGGCGCCTGCGAAGAGGGCGAAGAAGACACGTGGGGGCTCAAAGCACCAGAGCTCGACCCAGGTCCACCAGAACAAGGTTTGGGGTGAAAAAGGGGGGCTTCAAAGGTTCGTGTGAAACGTTGACCTGTGGCCTGAACAGGCAAGGGATGGGTTTTTGCCACGATACTTTGACCAAGGGATTATGAAAACGAAACCAAGGGATTCCTGAGTTCACCTTGAGGCTCTTCTGCCTGTCCCACCACCCTCCTTTTCTTTGGAGGGCACCGAACCTCTCTCCCGGAGCGGAAATCAAATTCATGCCTGGAATACTGCCTTCCTCTGGTCTTTCCTGCAGGTGTGCAAGGTCAACATGGAATATCTCTCCCTGTACAAAAAGTCTCTCTGGGTTCACATCCATCCTTTGGATTTGCCCAAGGGGCCTGCGATTCCATGAGATTCCCTGGTTCCTTTTCCAGTTCCCTTTAGCAAATCCAAGTGAGTATATGCAGCTATGCAACAAAGCCTCAATGCCAAAAGAATAGAATACCGCAAAAGAAACTCCCCAAAAATACTATTCTGATCAACAACCCCATCCCATACCTCACCTCACGTCCCCTGCGGCTTCCTTCTTACCAGCACCAACGTCGCACCGATCGACGTGCCTGCATCCCACTGGGGTGCATCGTAGATCTGCCACTCGTCCAGGCCCGACTCCAAGGAGTTGCGCCTCGATCGTCGCCAGTTCAACGGGGAGCAGCCGCGGAGCAGTTCCCCCGGCCACAGCGTTGAACATGGTGGAAGTGGACACGTACTTTTCGTGCACCCTCAAGCAAGATGGAAGTCGGCTTTTAGCTCGGTTTGTGGAGTGGGAGTCCATGTTTCTTGGAGAACAACGGTCAGCCAATCCCGGAATTCCGTGGATCGTCCCAAGCTCGGAATGACTGAAAAAACCTGTCAGATGGACTCCCTCCGGTGACACATGAGAAATCTTCAGGTCAGGTTTGTACAGGCGGCCTATGGTGGCCTGTTCATATAGTAGCATAATAGCACTGTTTCAGGTCCTCAAAGCTTCCTTTGAGGATTGAAGATGATGAAGACTTCAATGGGACTGATGACCAGACTGTCCTACCTTATGATCCGGTGCCTTCATATCGACCTTCGCTGCACTGGTTTCCAGGATGCCCACGGCCAAGAATACGGATAACAAACTCTGTCCCAGGACCAACGCGCTCGGAAGGGTTTTCATGGACACCCCGAATCAGCTCTTTTCGGAGCTATCAATAGAAACCCCTGGTCCGGGTGTCCTGGTCCATGTTCATGTCGTACATGTGTGGCGATAAAGCCACCGCTGAGAGTCGGATATTGAGAAGATCCACCGTGGTGGCTGTTGGTGCCCGCTCGAGCGGTGACCCGTGAGATTGTGCTGGGGATTTCAGGTCGACCATGGTCTACCATGCATCTTAAAGTTTGCATACAGCTCTGACAAGTAGTACACGCTGACTCACTAGCATGGAAGTGGAAAATGGGACCCTGGAAGACTACTGTCTTTCCATGTGAGTGAGTCAAAGTGTAAATGGTTTGGCAGCCCGTGGTGCAGTCCGGGACGGGCTGTCGAACCCGGGCTGTCGAAATAAACATCGAAGAGGACCTGAGAAAGGAGTACAGTATAGCACGGTAATAGGCCCAGTGGCATCGAGCGGCTAAGCGTTTATCGTTCTCTCGATCACTATTCCGTGGCTGCTGAAAACTCTTCCGCGGATGGAAAAGGTCGGACACATCTGTCAAAAGCATCCATCGTCGTCCAAACGGTGCTGTTGGCATCTCTTTCCCCGAAGCAGAATTGCGTCTCTACTCCCTCGCTCTGGGTGGCTCGCCTGGTGTCAATTCCTCGCTCTTCGCTCTTCGCCGCTCTCTTTTGGAGTCCCGTTTGAGCCAACCGAGCCACCCGAAACCCCACCCGGGGGTGAAACCAACTCCGAGCCAAGGCCCCCGCCCATCCCCGTCAAGTGGCACGACATCCGACACGAGGCCCGACAGCTGGACGCCGGGCGACTTCGGGTCGCTGTCGTCCACCGTCATGACCTGGTCGCGAAGAAACACCGCCGTAGACGACCGAAAAAGAAAGAAAGCATGTGTTCATGGGTGCAACGGGTTTGGGGACGTCGGGCAACCCCAAAAAATGGGTACCAGCCACATGTGCTGTCTACAGTAAGCAAGTTAGGGGCTCTAAAATTTTTGCTCACTTAATCACTTAGGACTTCAATGGACTTCAGGGCTTGGAGATTTGCGTGTTGCTCCTGCTTCCCCTGCTGAAAGATTTGGAAGTGAGAGAGCCAGGCTCCGTGCCCCCGCTCCCTGTCCAGCAGCTGCATTCAGTCAGTTGATTACGTGAGTGAGCCCGGTAGAAGGTTCGGCGTTGATTATGTGGAGCAGCTTCCCCATCTTCCCCTCCCTCAGCCTCGCGACGAAGATCCGCGTTGTGCTTGCACATCCTTGACGTAGCAATGTTTCCGCGGCCGGGGAGAGAAGTTTGAAGTGGTCCTTTGTGTTGGTCCCCATGGGCTTTTGGAAGTAGTACTGTTGGTGGAACAGAGTCCTGCCCTATCTGGTTGTTGGTCACTACGATGCATTGTGTGTCACAAAATCCAACTACAACGTTACAACGGGCACAAAAACCAGGATACTCCAGGACTGAAGCAAGTGCGTCCCGTTCGTGTTCTGCTTCGATCTCATTCAACAGTGAGTTGAATCTCTTAGCATCTCTTAGCCAAAAAGTCTCCCCGCATTATCCATTCAGCGAGAAGTGTCTCGTCTCCCCCTTACTTTCTCATCTCCCAGCCCTCTAGAGTGACTCGGACATCACGTTCCCAGCCCTCTCACATCGCGTGTGACGGACATCACTGCCGTTTCACTGTGACTCGTCACATGGCTTTGAAGCTCAAGAAGTCTTCCGCCGCCAAGAGCTGCTCGGCCAATGCCCGGTGCAGCGCCCCTTTCCGCAGACCCTCCTGGCCAACCGCAAGCCGCGGTGTCCGGGAAGCGTCCCGTGTGCGGCCGTGATGGTTCACGCCGTTCCGGGGTGGTTTTGCCATGCAAAGTCCCAATGGTTGACCCTTCTTCGGGGGGATCGCGCGTGGGTGATGACGCAGGTGAGTGAGTGAATGGGTAGCAGGTGTGAGTTCTGACTTGGACTCGTCCCGCCTGCAGAAAGGCTTCCACGCGCTCTTCACTGATGGAGACCTGATCCAGACCGGATCGCGCGACACGCGGAGCGACGGAGCGACGAGCGCGACGAGCGACTGCGGCTCGGCCTCTGCCAAGTGCGAGAGGAAGAGTTGTGTCACGAGCCCCTGGCGCAAGGCAAGTGGGAGGTGAGGGGTGCTTGAATTTGCAGTCGAGCGCAGAAATGTTCTGGAAGTTTCGACATGTTTCTACCCTGCCACATGGAAACGCCATGTGGTGGACCCGTGAGGGCGACTTCTTTCCCTTTCGAAACCAGTGCTTTGTTGCTCTGCAAGGCTCCAACTGATATGTTGAGCTTTCAACGAGTTGTGTGGCCCGCATCATCTGGGTGTCAAAAAGCCTTCGGGCCCAATCTAAGGTAGACTTTTGATTATATGTCACCACCCCATATGAGTCGAGGATGTTTTTCAAGAGTAACATTGGGTGGGTGTATCAATCAAGAGTCTGTCTACATGTGTCTTCTTCTTGAAAAGTCTGCGTGTCAAGTTGCCATCTCTGGATATCTCTGGAGTAACCTGTTCTCGGAGTTGCCAACATCACAGGTTCACCATCGCACAATGTCTTGCTTGTTTCGCTGTAGACGTCCGTCCGATCCATGAATTACGCCACAAAAGTCCACAAGGTTCCCACGACCCATCAGAGCTGGTGTTGTTTTGCAGTGCTTTGGACATGAGGGTCTCCTCAAAGCTCTGACAGTATATGTGAGAGCACAGTTACGACAGCAAAGACAAAATATATCAAAATATTGTATAATGATTCATGATGAATCTACCAACATGTCAAAAGGGAAAAATAGTGTTATATAAAATAGAAGTGGGTGGCTTGGAAAGTAAAAGTTGTGAAATTGTTGTCTAAAAAAGAGAAGAACATCCAATATATACCCTAGAAAACCAAAGACTATATGTTATAGTCTTCGACTCCCAGGGTATATATAAAATATAACACACACAAGATGGTTTCCCCAACAACTACACCTGGGGAGGCAACGTTCGTTGTCCCATGAAACACACGTCGGTCACGTTCGATGACCACCGCTTCCGCCTCGCCTGGAACTCTTGGTGGCACTGCCTTGGGAAGCGGAACAAAACAGCATCGAATTGACCAAATCACCTGAAATCGCATCGGATTCATGGTGCTGGATGCTCTCTACAACTCGTCATCCTATATATAGTCTGCATTGATCGAGGGGCTTTATTGATCCGTTCCTCCATCCCTTTTAAGCTATACTAAGTAGTAGCTAGTTGCTACTAGTATTTATGGACCTCGCGAGACCTAGCCAATATGGTTTCGGCGGATGGCCGGCTTACCATGGCCTGCCTCTCGGATGCGTCGAGCTCGACGCAACCGATGAAGAACCCCCCAGTTGAAGAGATAGATTCAATTCAATTGGGGGGTGATTGATCAAGAGTCTACATTCTTTTTGCAGTGGGTTTCCCCACAGAATTTTTGGAGGTTGCCAAGCCTTTGTCTCACAGCTAGGACATGCATCTGTCAGCCCTATCAATCACAAATTCTGAAATTAGAACCCCAGAAGCTTCGCGCGATTCCAAGAACACCCCTCAACTCAACAGCGTTTGATGATTGAAATGATTGAAGGATCATTGGCTTTTTCAGAGCAAAACTCTGCACAATGTCATGCAACGTAAGTGATACTCCCTGCCATTAGCAAGCTGTAGGCCAGAAAGTGAGTCATTCCACTAGCTTCCAGTCTCCGAGCAGGGGCGTGTGTCATCCACAGATGGAGGTGGAAAATGGATGAAAATGGCCCCTCGGAAGACTCGTTTGACTGCTAACAGCAGAGATTCCACTTGCACGTAAGTGAGACAGCGAGCAAGCGAGCGAGCGAGGGGAGGGAGGGAGCGAGGGAGAGGGAGCAATGTTTGAACCATGAAGACCTCGGACACTCTACATTTCCAACACCACAACTCCACAACCCTTTTCACAAGAAAAGGATATTGATTGTGCATGGCCGCGGCGCTGTAACAGAGACCACAACTGGATGCACAAAAATTAGCACCAGAAAAATGCTTTAAAAAACCTTTAGATCCAATTGGATGGCACTCTCACCACAGGAACTCCTTTTTTCACTCTCATCTATGGGCCCTCCTGCCCGGTGAAGCCATGGGAAGTCACAAAACCCTTCCATCAAGCAACACATCAGTAGGTTGTGAAAAAAGATATACCTCAAGTAGCATTAAATAGGTCAAGTGGTGTTAGTCTATAGTAGTAGTTGTTTCGGTCCTGTGGGAATTGGGACGTGCTTTGTCTTTAAATGCTTTCGTGGGGCTGGGTTGTGTGGGCAATACGACGGTTTTTCTTTTAAAATGATTTCGTGGGGCGGCCCGGGCAACCGGGTGCTGCTATTCCCTGTAAATGCTGTCGTGGCGCCGGGTCCTGTGGGAATTGGGGCGCATCCGGGGCGGCGCTATTCCCTGCAAATGCTTTCGTGGGGCCGGGTCCTGTGGGGACAGGGGCGCCGCTTTGCCTTTAAATGCTTTCGTGGGGCTGGGTCCTGTGGGCAAGCCGACAGCTTTTCCTTTTCAAATGCTTTTGTGGGGCTGGCCGTTGGAAACGGGGGCGCTGCTTTTCCTGCGAGCGCTTTCGTGAGCCGGGTCCTGTGGGAATTGGGACGCCGGTTTGCCTTTAAATGCTTTCGTGGGGCTGGTCCTGTGGGCTCATTTTTTCCTTTTAAATGTTTTCGTGAGGGCCCTGTGAGAATTGGGGCTGGGTTCTTCCTTCAAATGCTTTCGTGAGGCTGGGTCCTCTGGAATTGGGCGGGCCGCTTTTCCTTTAACTGCTTTCATGGGGCTGGACCCTGCGAGCCGGCGCGCGGAACCGGGCTCGGCCTTCCCTGTAACGGCTTTCGTGGGGCTGGGCCCTGGGGACCGGGGCGCCGAACCGGGGCACGGCTCTGGCGGCTGGGTCCTGGCAACGCTTGCGTTTCTAGCCTTTCCCTTGTGTTTTTTCTTGTGCTAGATTTCGTCAAATCTGGTGCTATTTTTTGTGCTCCCAGTTGTGCTTTTTCTGGTGCTAAATTTCGTCAAATCTGGTGCTAAATTTCGTCAAAGCT